ATTGCACGTGGCTCAACTAGTATTTGGTCAAAAATGGTTTCCTTTGAAAGAGTCCTCCCTCTATAGTTAGTAAATTCTAAAGTCCAAATACTTGAGCTGGCCCGGCATCTCATCTTTGAATCAAATTGGAACCTTTGACTGTAACATAGGCACAAAGTTAAAGAATAACAACTGATATGGCCGGTTGAGAAAATACAAAAAGATTTAACCAATTATGACAAAAGAAATTCAAACCCAACCAACACAGACTATTTCAAATCGAGACTATAGTAAATTTTTTTGGTTTGTTCAAATTCTCCGTTCCTTGAGTTTTTCATAAATAAGGGAAGTACGATTTAGAAAAATTTAAAAAGATAAAGATATTGGCGTAATATTACATTCTATTTAGAGTAATTTTGTATCAATGCTAACAATCTCGTGAAGTGCTAAGTTTAATAAACATGCATGACACTAGCAATTTTGCCAAAAAAGTATCGGAAAGACCACGTGTGTTGACAAGTAATTGCGACATGCTAAAAAAGTTTAAAAATATATAGAAAAGATCATTACACAACATGTCAAACACACATCCACGTTGTATCAATACTTGAAATGTGTCCAATACCATCATTCTACAAGGAATTTGTGTTTGAGCTTTACAATTCAAAGGTAAAGAGTGTAGATCATTAAAAAAAGATCTATCAGATGAGAATAACTAACATCGAATGTTAAAACTGATGTATAATCAAAATAAAATGAATAATGTGAGAAAAAACAAACAAAAAATAACAATACCGAAAATGGTTACAAAGTTTGTGATTTTTATGAAATATTTTGATAGGCGTCGCAATAATTTATTGTGAATAAGAATTTGTATGTAGTCGTTTTAACTTCCACTGCTCATGAGTAGTCAACATCATTGCGAAATTTGCAAGCTATACCTAATTTCTTTACCCAAACAACCCCTTGACAAACCATTAGAGTAATCAAAATGCAAAAATTAATTTGTTGATCCAATAAAGATAGCAAGCAACGTTACAAAAGTAAAAGCATCCAGCGTGCACTTCAAGAATAAAGATACGAAAATAAGTTGCACACGTCAAATCAAGTGTTTCAGAACAAAAGTGATATAGAAAAAAGATGGAAGCTGATTTTGTAGACTCCACATCCAACTCCAACACTCTTGGCATTTTCTCATTAATTCAGCTGAAACAAAATGGAAGTACCGTTACGCAAGTAAAAGAAGAGGAATTGTTATGCAGTTTAGTCAAAACTTGGTGATCACATACCTAGATTATGGCAAAAATCCCATCAACCTGATGAAGGCAGCTCATATGGACCTGATCGATCACAGTTATACTTATCATTTCCTGATCCTCCACGACTGTCAGAGTCCCAGCTCCGACCACCATTACGATCAGGACCATACTGGCCACCACCTCCATATTTGTCATCCCTACCACCATATCTACCACCTCCTCTTTGCCCTTCTCCAGAGAGACATTAATGCCCTGGCTTACGACATTTGAAGCAGTCTCCACCAGATCCACGCCCACCCATGTGGTCACGAGTTCTCTCCCTATCAAAGTCACAGTCATGGTCACGGCTCCTATCCCGGTCCCC